TATATTATAATTGAATGCAATCGCATCACTCTAGAAATTTCTTTATGCAAAACTACTTTATGCAAATATAACATTTCTAGAAAACAATTTAAAACTAGAAAATTAGATTCAAAGTTTTAATAATTTTTTTATAATTAAATGCATTTCCATTTCCATCACAGCCGCTCTACTACAAAATTTACTTTATGCGAAATAATCAATTCGAAGTCATAGCAGAAATTATTGTCAATTATTTCCAAAGAAATATCACTCGTATTTGAATGTATAATATCCTTTAATGTAATTTCTATACTCTTTGAATGTTTTATTGTTAGTACTTGACATTCGCACAAATAGAGCTTTTTGCATCTCTGAGTGCAAGCTCTAGAAGAGCTTTGCTTTGCATCACGTCAGGCCAGTTGACCTCGAGTAGTCTCTTCATTCTAAACAAACAAAAACAAATTAATTCGGTCATCGGCATTTCTCTATACTCTTCTCTAGAATGGAATGACTTCAGTCCATTTGCAAAGATAATATCGTCTAATGTGCTTTTGCTATATTTGGATAGTCTTAACCAAGCCACTTGGAGTATTTGAGGAGTAGGAGTTATTAACTGCATCCGAAATTTGAGTTTTTAATTCATTTTGTATTGTTTTTTATATTCATTGTAGAGACGCTGAGAGTAATACATTTTTGACAAGATTAATATAAAAAGTAAATAAGACATACGAAATTACATATTCTTTAAATATTTTTTTCATTATTCAACAACAAAGGTATATTTGTGATCAAATAAAATTTCTAAACATTTCTTTCAGAATTAACATCTTGTTAGTTATTGAAGATAAGACAAATTATTTTTTTGAGACATTACATTGAAATTGACAATTCAGTAAATATTTTTAATTCCGTAGACGAAATACCTTTGGAAAAGTTAGCATTGTGTGAAGATCTACTAAGGAGTTCTTTGTAATTAAAAAGTCCATAATGATAAATTATAATTTTTTGAACAATTCAACATGCATCATATTATATATACAAAATATTTAGTTATATTCGAAAATCAATAGTTTATGATTGAAATTAATTTTTTTCACCAAAAGTCCAGAACGGACATTAACATTGGAGACTAAAGGATATAATTTAGAAACAGTTCTGATTTTCTTGAAACAGCTTCAAAAACCATTTAACTTTACTAAAGATATTTAGTTTGTTATTTATTTCTCAAATTACTCTTCTTCTTGAAAGTTCGCCAGAAAAAAGAAAAACTCGCGCATTACTTTTGTTATGTAACGTCTTCTCTGATAATTATAATAATAACAGTTCTGACAATAATCACATAATGCTCAATGAGATTTTAATTTCCCACATTCAGCAAACAATCCGTATTCTGTGAATTCAGAAAGAATAGAATCCATAATACCTCTCAGTACAATTTGCATGCAGTAATAATAAAAAGTTCCCAGATTTCCTCACCTTGAACTTTTACGTTAAAATTCAACTTAGAGATGAACTTGAGTTGCGTAAATACTTGGGCGAAATCGAATGAATTTTATTGGAATGGATAAATAAAATACATTCAACTTGTATCGAGATTTATTTAAGAAATTTTTATTACTTCCTATGTTATACTTATATATTATTACATATAGCTTTTTTAAAAGTATATTTACATACATTTTCATTCCACACCAAGGGCATTTAGAACTAAGGGTGCAATACCTATTTTGCTCAAAATTGATTTGTACTAATAAAAATTCATGTAATACATTTTTGACAAGATTAATGTAAAAATGAACAAGACATACGAAATTAAATATTTTTTTAATATTTTTTTCATTATCTAATACTAACCACAAGGGTATATGTTTGTGATCGGGTACAATTTTTAAACATTTCTTTCAGAACACCTTAACGCAAATTGCTGGAACTTCCCGTACCGTAACGAAATATGTTAGAGAAATATCAAATGTTTTTATATAAATTATTATAAATACTGAAACATTGTCTAATATTTATAAGTATTATATAAACTGAACTGCAAAGTTGAAAATAATTGTTTAAAGTATATTAAAACTTAAGTCAGAATTACAATTAAATTCTGAATTATTTTCGATATACAAAAAAAATATTTAAAAAAAGAAATTTGAAAAAAAAATTTAAACGAATTTTTTTCCCCCAAAAGCAATTATTTTGTTAAAACAAGTAGAAAATTCTTTGAATCATTCAAATTGGACTCAAAGTTCACTCAAAAACCTGCCTAAACCAAAAACTAAACATCACTTCTCCCCATCATTACGAATTGAATGCTTTTTGGATCATTCAAATCGGATGCTCCGATCTCTCAAAAGCTCGATTTCTATTTTCTGCACTCTTTGCTCCGTATCTCCGAAACGGCTGGACCAGCCTTTGCCAAACACTAATCAGCACATGTCCCTATCAATAGGAATCGAATGTTTTTTGAACCATTCAAATCGGTTGATCCGTGGCCCGAAAACGTGGACGAAAAATTGTATCCATACATACATACACACACACATCAATTTTTTTTTTGAGGTATGCCAAAATGTTCAGAAACCTTCAAAACGCGAAGAAATGTAAAAATTTTAAATTTTGATTTTTGGACGATTACAATAACTTACCCTACGGGAAGTTAAAAAAATGAAAAAACTTATAGAAAATGACAACAATGAAATAACTTTATCAACTGTTCCATATTTATTTGTTAACATATTTAAAAACTCTAATGAATCATAATATTTTAAAAATCATTTACACACGTGTGCACGTGTCCATCGATCGTGTTCGGGCTTTGACATCTCGATACGAATGTAAATTGTTATTAATAACAACGTCTACAAATACAAAAATATTGGAAATATAAAATATGTACTTACAATATATGAAAATATCTAACAATAGCACTAACATCTAGTAAAGGTATTCTAAATGAAATATTTGACACCAGAATGCTAAATGCATTCCAACAATACACGTGGTATATTTTGAAGGGAGCTGGGCGGTTAGTAATTGAAATGTTTTGCTTCAAAATGCATTTTATATCGTAATTGTAATGAAAATCGTCATTGTAAATCTAGTAATTAAAAATTATTAAAATAGTGATAAAAATTTTTAGTTTTTTATTTTATTATTAGGTGCAAATTAGATTATTATGCATTCATTTATTTAATATTATTTATTATATTTTTCGCAGCCTATTTTGCATTGTTGTTTAGAAATATGTTATTAAATATATAAAATTATTGTTTGTTTTCCACGGCCTGGAGGAAAACTGGTTTTACGCCGCACGTTAAAAATAATTCTATATTTAACATTAAATTAGTCATAGTTAGTTAAGAATCCCTATCTTGAACACACAAGACGGCATCGGCATCTATTATACTATTTAAATATTTGTACTTATGGTTTTATATTGGCACCAGAGTCAAGTATTGAGGTTTTATTCCGTTACAAGGATGTTTATGAAAGCTCTTTAGATCTGGGAGTGCCCTTTGTTTATTGATTGTTTTATGTTCGATTTGTGTCTATAATTAAAATCAAAGCCCACGCTTCGATAGTACCATTTTGATTTAAATGTCTAGTACTGTAACGTTGGAATAAATTCTAAAACGGGTAGAATTGAATTTATTACCTGACGCGTGTGGAGTTTTAATGGTAAAGGTTCCAAAACTTTGGATACAAATTTACTACATGAGTGTATAAGAAATATTGGGATCAATAAAATTATAAAAATAATCATTTATTTGTGCATTGCCGAGATAGCAAATTTTTCATCACAAATCAAAAGAATATTGAAACAAAATATTTATTTAAATGAATGATAATGTCAAAATATATTACAATGTTTCTATATATAATATATCATTAAGAAAAAATAAACATCTGTAACTACATTAATGGACCGATTCTGCCGCATAACAGACCAATGTTATGGCAAGGCCATTTTATGAAAGACTTTCCTTACTAAATATTGACAAAAGCCATGTAGTTGCTGTGTAGTCAGGTGTAACGCTGATTGACAGATAGAAAACCTAACCTAGAAATCGCACAAATGTCAAAAAAAACGATCTTAGATAACGGGGTATTTCTGACACAGCTTCATAACATACGAGTGACGTTGCAGTTTATGTGTAGAACGCCTGAATTCACATTGAAGTTGGAGCGTAACATAGCCTTGCCATAACATTTTTCTGTTATGCGGCAGAATCGGTCCCTAAATTTTACATTTGCATTTAATGGATATCTTTTTTAACGCTACTGGAATATTGATTCTTTGGCTACGAGCCTATAGACGACATTCGGTGTATCGAGAGATCGAGACTATCGAGCATTGACTCGATATTTCAATTGAAAATTCTTTTGAATTTATTTTTGTATTTAGTCTGGCTATCTATATCACTCTACATTAACTACCCTTGTCTTCATCATGTCCATAGTAAACCTATATAGATCCATAACTCTTATTTATACTAACATTCACACACAACAACAACGCCATCTATTGATAGCTAACAGTTGTAATGTTTATTTCTTCATAATTACATATTTTAATTTTTTAGTATATTTCAATTTCTAATAAATCGAATATCTTAAATTGTGTTGTCACAAATACTTTGGCGGCTTGCTAATTCTATTATTTTCAGAGTTATTTTATAATGCACGTGAATTAATTAGTAAACCTACTTTTTCGATTGAAAACGGGAATTAGAACTGCTTGATATGAAGGTGTCCGAGCGGGAATTGAACCTTGTGATTGCAATAATCACTATTATTTAATAATATTTTGTACACCTTTCATACTACTATTTACATTATTTTATTTTAGAAAATGTACAATAAAAATTTCCAAATATTTTTTTATATTTTTAATGTTTACCACGTTTTTGGGCAAAATTTATGATATTCAAGTCGATTTTGTTCCATTTGCAATATATTCGTTTTTCGTTTTTCGTTTCTTTCTTACATTTATATGTTACTTATAGAGCTTTTATAATTTACAGGTAAAGAAAGTCGCGATGAAGCAGCAAATTGAAAGGTAAGAATAGCAAATTAGTGCATGTTGAATACAGTGATACCTCGCATAACGTACGTCTCGCACAGTGGACGATGCTCATAACGAACTTTTTTTTCGGTATCGAACGCTCCACACAACGAACTTTGCTTCACACAACGTACTAAATCGTTGTCATTTGTAGTCAAAAAACATATATTGCTCAAATTAAATCAAAGAGTAGACTTTGGAAATTTTTGATCCGCTGTGAAAATATACTTGTTGGAAAAAACTATCGACGGTTTTTTTAAAAAATCAGAAGCTAAAAGGGCACAAGAAGAAGCAGTACGACTCTGATAACAACTTATTTCGTAAATCAGTAATAAGTTTCAAATGTCTTAATTATATGTAAAATATTTCTTATTTGCTATGAGTACATTTCAAACTACAGAACAAATTAATATAATTTTTATGTATTTATATGGAAAAGCGCGTTTCACATAGCGAACTTTTCGTACAACAAATTTTCTCCCGGAAGGAATTAGGTGCGTAATTCAGGGTATCGCTGTACATTAAGTATAAATTTTTGGGTGCCAAACACCAATGTCAATTATAAACATTATAAAGTTGAGCGATACTAGAGAGATTCCGCTAGTTTAAACAAGTTCGGAATATCAATGGATCTGTTGATATTTAGCTAACAGTTTTTGAATAAATTTTGAGAAATGAGTTATGGGCACACGCGTTTTATTCGCGTTCGATAACCGATAGTTTCGGCCCTGACATTCCACGTCCGAAGCTTGCGTGATTCTCCTCAAACAACTCGCGCGTTTCCTGGTTCACACGCGCAGAACCGCATTATGGCTTAAACATTTTTTTTGTTAGAGGAAAGATATGGAAATGTTACAAATTATTAAACTTTTTTTTATTCATATTATTCGGCATTAGGCCAAACAAAGGGGCCGTTCAAGTATTACGTAAGCACTATAGGGGGGGCGGGGGGGCTATTTATTTGCTCATTTTGGGTGACATTTTAGTGACAGCTTTGCTTACTTTTGCTGAAAAGGGGGATGGGAGGGGTAAATAATTATACTAAATCTGCTTACGTAATACTTGAACGATCCCAAAGAACATTAAAAATATCATGACAAAATTAGAAAATAATAATTGAATAAAATTACAAGAACATTACTGCTACTGTAGCATATAATATATGTTCACGCCAAAATCAAAGCATATATTGATATAAAAACAAAAAAAATCATCATAAAATTAAAGCTTTCAATACAGTTGAACTTTGTAAATACTAATACAATTTGTAGTTAATTTAAAATATACACATAATATTACAATTAGTGTTTTACAAATCATTGGTCCTTCTGAAAATTATTCAACCCAAATAAACAATATAGTTACACAATACACTCTTAAAAATATGTAATTTATTTCTTTAATAATGAAAAACATTTTTAGTCATTTCTAGTTGTAAACATTTTTAGTAATAAAAATAGATTAGATAACAAAATTCAGTTTAACCATTTTTAGCTAAAAAATGTATTTGATTACAAAAGACTCTCATTAATATCAATACAACTTATTAAATATCTTCTCATTCATATTATTCGGCATTTGGACAAATATTATATATTTTTTACTTCTATTTAATAATATACAGTCATCCCTTAGACAAACAATATTAAGTAGCAAGATTACAGCACAATCAAAAAATAAAAAAGTAAAAAAATTACAAGTACATATTGTTAGTTATAATATTCATTAATATACCATAACTTATAAGGCACTACCTTTCATAATTATAGTCTACATTTTTATTACCTTCTAGGAGACAGATTATTTTTTTATGAAAATAAAAAAGAGATATACAGGCAGTTTGCACAATTTCATTTATCATTATTTCTATGATCTAAAATTTTGCATCGTCAAAATATTATTTTTTTTATAATTCAAACTTCAGTTAAAACTACCCACAAAACCTATTAATGGGAATATAACAAAAATTAAAAAATGATATCCTTTCATATTTAATAATACATATATATATATATATATCAAAATAGTCAAGCAAGTAAAACTAAACATGACAATGTTTTAGATATGATTTTAGAGATTATATACAATTTAATGTATATATGAAAATATAATTCAACAAATCAGTTAAAAAAAAACGAGATTTTATTTTTGATTACAAATAACTATGATAATATAGTCATTATACCATCGAACATCAATATTTATAAGCATATATATTAAATCATTTACTCTATTTATTAAAGTCAATCCAAAATGACAAAATTCTATAATTAATTTCTTTAATTATGATACACAACTTCGAGTAGTTTCAAAGTTTGGTAATAAAGTTTCAGGTAACAAAAAAAATGAAATTTATCAAGTTATTTAGCGAACAATATATATTTGACTACTAAGTACTATGATCAAGTTGATACGATTGATAGATATTTTTAGAGAAATATATTAAATCATTATTTGTTCTGTTTTAAATCCATTCTATAACTCGAACATTGCGATACATTTCTTGAAATATGATATGATACCATTTCTAATCGTACAAAATTTTCATGATAAAATTACAAACCAGATACCTTTAAAAAATTTAACATTTTTTAGCTAAAAAATAGCTGAATATTAAGAATTACACTACTTAATAGCATCGATATTTTTAAACAAATACAATAATGGCAGTTTACAATCAATTAGACCGCTTAAATTTTTTTTTAATTCCATAGACATATAATACTAGTAAAATTAAATACTATTAATTGAACTTTATAAACTATCTCGCTTTAGCGAATAATAGAATTAATTACATATTGATGGCATTATAAAGCCTGCATAATAGATATAATTAGAAGTGTAAAATTCATAATAACTGCATATCATAAATGGTATTTAAAATATAATACATAACGATGATTTTATTGATACTAAATTTATTTATGTCCATTTACATTTAATTCTTAAAAACTTTTGTATAGCAGTTATATTATTTTTATGATTTAAAATTAATTATTACTTCTAATAAAATTTGATTCAACAAAATGAAAATAACAAACATTTTAATCTTCTCTTCATAAACTTTATCTCGAGACGATGTGAGTGGTCTTATTATAATCTGTAAGACATCAGAGCCCACCCAATGCCGCCGACTTCAATATTATTAAAATGATGTAGTCATTAAACTTCTTAATCGTTCAAATTGATAACATGAAAATATGCAAACGAGATAAATTATATACACTCACTTATACATTCGTATATTCAAGAAAAATTTGTGTTACGTACATCGTAATTAACGGTATTTATTTTTGATTAATGTATAATTTGATTACAAATATTGAAGAAATAGTGTTCGCACTAAAAATATTTTTGTTTTAATTACAAATTTGGTTTATGTTTGTTTATTTTAAAATTAAACATTTTTTTACTCACAAAATTTTGCTGTAGTAACTTTTTACTTTAGTTTAAAAATTTTATAACTATGACAAAATGAAATAGCATTACATTTTTGATTGAAGTATTATTGTTGTATATTAAAGTATATTAAGAGTTGAAGTATATTAAAATCATATATTAATTTTCTAAAGAGTCTCCGACACCTCGATAAAACAATTTTTAAATAGAAATACCGTCCGAGCCGAAAAAGGTTTAAGATCGTTTAGCTACAATATTTAAACCGAACCTTAACAAATAAAATTAATCAAATTTGCTATTGAAAAAGTTTTATTTTAATATTCATCCATTATATTTTATTTTTCAATATTGGTGTGCAACTGTTCAGTATGTATATCCTGCTACTTATTTTTATACCAACTTTTTATAACTAAAAAATAGCTGAATTAATTTAATAAAAAGCTACTCAATTCTTTGTTCTAATTATTGGTTTTATTCAAAAGTTATGGAGTAAAATTAAAGAAGTTTAAAATTGCACAAGTTATGAAACAACACTAAAATATCTGTTTGATTATCTATATAAAATATTAAATAAATTTTCCATAAAATATAACAATTAAAGTTTACTTTATTAACTAAGTCTTTTTTATCAATTTTTTTTTTTTATTTTAGAAAAGGTATATTTGGATATTTACCCGTAGGTATAGTATCCATTGTATCTGTTGTTGAAAAATAATAATAAGTATTAAGGATATAAAAGTTATGGCATAATTTCAAAAAAGGAGGAAAGGAAAATATCCCAAAAAAGTCACACAACAATCTTTATAATAATAAATATTTACACAAAACACAAAATGTACACGAGATATTTATGCGCTCTCGAAAATCACAGTGACGATTATTGAAAATATATATACCAATCAAAATTCTATAATTTTTTTAGGCTATTATGAAAAATTAAATGAAGCATATATTATTTTAAAAAAATGTATAGAAAAGACTCCGAAGAGTGATATTTTTATTAAGGCCGATGCAGGTCTATAGGCCAACTTATAAAACTTATCTTAGTGATCAAGGCTTCCTTAATCCTTCTATCTTTAATAACAAGATCAATATTTTCAGTTCATCAACTGCGTCTAGTGATGAAAACAAAAAATAATCAATTTTAACTTATTAGTTAAAAACGAGTAATTAATAGAATTTTGAATTCTTCTGTTTTAAATTTAACCTAACAACTAACTTTCTTGCTATGCTTTTAGAATGTTGAATCATCCTCCTTTTACACTTCTCCTTATGCCTGAGTACCTACATCATTTCTGATGGAAACAGGCATATAAATAGAGATTAAGATCGCATATTTATAGTGTGAGAAATCATTATTCCTTCAAACAGAATTATTTCTGTCATAACTCGATATACCTACACTTATTTCCATTTTTGTGGCATGCCGATAATACATATTATATAATACACGTGAACTTCCCCGTCTGCCAAGAATTTGATCATAATGCATGGCTTTATGGCTTTCATCCGAGATAAGCAACTCAGTAATTGCATTTATTATCTTGGCCAGTCTTGTTATTATCTTTGTCTATGCTTCACTCCATAGATTTTGC